GAGATCATAGTTGCACTTAGGCAACCATTGATCAACTCCTTTAGGAATAAAGAGTTTTCTAAATTTGCATCTTTCAATGGTATGTCCTTTTTTTGCAAAAATAATGACAAGATAGGTTTTTATGAGACATGTCCTTGCTATTAGAATTCTTATACATATATCTATGCTTCTTTTTAGAATGGTTCAAAGGATTTTTAACCTTAAAAGAAAATCGATAGCAAACACCATCTTAGGTTGCAAGACATCATCTAATTTGACTTGAAGAGATTTCACTTCCTCTATTATGACAATGTTCACAACCAAACCTACGAGGTTTTATATCCTCACTCATTTCGCTTTGAATATCTATCATAGATTTCTTAAAAGCTTCAAAATTCCTTTCAGATTCTAACACTTTACCTTCTAAATTTAAAATCACGTTTTCATGTGAAGCTAACTTGCTAAAAGCTCTTAAGGCTTCTCTATGAAGATCTTAAAAGGCCCTTTGTAATTCTAAATAGGATGAATTATTTATATACTCAAGCTTAGAGAGACTTACATATTTCTTCTTTTTCCCTTTTTCCATAAGACAAATTTGAGCCGATTCGACACTTAAAGTTGTGCTTTCATCACTAGAGGACTCACTTGCGCTCTCCCAAGTGGCATATGCTCTCCTAATCTTGCTAGAAGTTTTATGATGGCTCTTTTATTTATCTTTCTTTCTCAAGCGGCATTCCGGTCTGTAGTGACATACTTCACCATAACGATAACACGATCTTCTAAGCTTGCTCTTCCTACTTTCATCATCCTTTGAGGAATTTGTCAAGCTTCTAAACTTGAATATGTTCTTGTCAGAATGTTTAACATCATTCTTCCTTATATGCCTTTGGTATCTCTTTACGAACAACCATATATCCTCCTCATACAAGCTTTTATCATCATCACTTTCACTATCATTATGATCACAATGTGAAGGTCTTGAGCTAGAAGTCTTTAGAGCTATGGACTTCTTGCCTTCCTCTTTTCTTTTCATATTCTTTTTCGTATTTTACTAAGCAAGTGAGCTCTTGCTCATGCTCTTCCAACTTACCAAACAAAGTTGTGAAATCAAGTGACTTAAGATCATTTGCCTCCTTAATGGCGTTGACCTTGGGCTTCCATTTCCTACTTAAACACCTCAAAAATTTATTATTAGCAAGTTCATTGAAAACGGGATTACCTAGCGCATTTAACTGATTTATGAGATAAGTGAACCATTTTTGCATATCCGTAATGGTTTCACCATGCTCAATACAAAACAACTCAAACTCTTGATTTAATGTGTTAATCCTAACTTGTTTGACATTACTAGTTCCCTAATGGACAATCTCTAATGCATCCCACATAACTTTTGACGGTCTCATAATGAGAAACGTGATAAAAATCATCAACACCCAAAGCGGATGTGAGGATGTTTTTCGCTTTCCAATCATGTGACCACAATTTCCAATCATTAGCATCCCATTGTCCTTCTGGTTTAGGTAATGTAACACCCACAGCATTGGTCATAGTTACTTCATTTGATCCATTTTGGATAGCTTCCCAAATACCTTTGTCAACTGAGTTAGCATGAATACGCGTAAGAGCTTTCCAATAGCCATAATTTCGCCGATGAAAATTGATGTTATATCGTACGCTTCATTAGGTTCGGTAGCCTTTATTCTAAAGAGTAAATCTCAAGCACAGAATTAACAGGAGTTCTTGATACCACTTGTTAGACGATAGGCTTCGATCTAAAGAGGGTGAATAGATCACAAATTTAAAACCAAAAACTCTTGGCAAAAATTTGTTTTCAAAAAGTATGGCACAACGGAAACAACCCGAATCGAATCGTCTAACCGAACCTACTATTGAAAATCTCAAATCTGCGTAATGAAAACCAATGGAATGATAATGAACAAAAAAATTTCAATCAACAATTAATCCATTGATCAATCAAATGCAAAGTTATTCGTAATGCTTATTTCCAATGAACACAAAGCGATAAAAATACTCAAAGACAATTTATCGAACACTTTGTGTGGGATTGATCATGTTTGGAAATTCGATTTATTTTGTTGATGTCAAAAGTCAATCACAAAAGTGGTTGTGATTATATCAACAACAATAGTTTAAAAGAAATTTGAAAATAATTTTCAATCGAATTAATCAAAACAACAACCAAATCGATAATTTGTAAGAACAATAATTAAAGAAAATTAAAGCGATAAAGAAGATACAAAGATTTGTTTAGGCAGTTCCCCAATCAGCCTCGTTATAGGTACATCTGCCCTCAATTCGAAATCGAATTGAGATACTTGCAATTAACCTTATCTTTGCAAAAAAAATTATACAATATGTGAAGAATTCTAACCCCACAAACCTTATTGTTTGTTGTTGATTCAACCACCTCAAAACCCTTGATCAAAGCTTGATCAAGTCACCAATAATGCAGTTACAATCCTCATATTATCCCAAGCACGTACTTGTTGAACTCAAGATTTCCGAACACGATTCATCGTCTCGTGCTACTCCCTTGCAAGGAAACCACCTTGTCCCAATGTCTTCACTCGGTCGATCCGTGTTGATGTGATCTTATCTAAAACCTTCAAATCACACTGATCTTGAAGAAAAACCCCACCTTGATTTTCTTATTTGAAACACACAATATCCCAACCCAATATTCTCGGTTACACCAAACCTAATTGGACGTTATCAACCCTAATCTAAATGGTCACCCAATCAAATAATGATTATGTGTAGTTCAATTGTGTGTATGCATAGAAGAGAGATTGAAGATGATGAAAATGCTTTGTAATCTGGCTTCGTATAGGTAATTCACCAATACCTTGCTAGATGAAGGGGCATGTGTGAGTATGTATAGGTATGTGTTGAAAACTGAACAAAAGGAATGCAATAAGTTGGAGTAAGAAAGAAAATTTTAACTTGGAAAATTGTATATGTCGACCTATCAAAGCAATAGGTCGGCCTGTCAATACAATCAGGTCGGGCTATCAAGGTCTCGGGTCGGCCTATAGAGGTTTTGTGTTGCGTACAGGTCGGCCTATGTAAGGCGACCTGTGGACAGAAGCTACAGGCTTCAATACTGCTCCATGGGAGCCAGCCTGAAACTGTTATAGGTCGGTCTATACTAAACCTGAGAGTCGTATATGTCAGTATGTTCATGGATGTGTCGGTCTGAAAAGGTTTGACCATCCAAAAATAAGTTTTTTCAATACAATTTTGATACAAGCTTCTTTTCCAACTTACTTGAATGATTCCTAACACTATGATGCACACCTATAATGGGATTATATCGTCCATTATACATAACGCTACACTATCCTTGTTTTGACATAACTCAAAATTCAAAAGCACTCACACAAGTGAAGTTGAGCTTAAAAATCTAGCCCGCCCCACCACAGTGACGGTTTAACGGGCGGCGAGCTTCCCCGCCTACTTTTTCATTTATTTTATTTTCATATTTTTTAATAGATAAATAGGTTTTCTTTTTACATTTCAATTAGATTTTTCACTTACTTTTTAGAATATTTTTTTATAAAATATCTTTTTAACAAATTTTGCTTTAAAAAAATAATGCATATATTCACAAATAAATGTATAAAATAAAATCTTTCACCAGTGTTCCAAAACTATAGTTCAAGTATTAACCTTCAACCAATCCAAATAAATATTGAATGCTTGATAACTAGGCTAGCGGAGCAACCTTCCCCTTTTTTGACGGGTTTAAGGCAGGGCGGATTTAAGGCGGGGCAGGTTGAGCGGATAGGCGAGTACAAAATCTCAACCCAACTCGTCATTTTATGGAAGGTGCGCGGACTGGTCCAACATACCCGACCCATTTTGTCACCCCTAAAAACAGTGGCTCATGATGAATCTTTAATAGGTCTCTAATTATTAATATTTGAATAAATAAGTTGATTATCAAAAGACAAAACTACTACTAATATTTATTGCAACTATTTTACTTTTTTTAATTAAAAATGAAATTTAAAAATGACAATTAAGGGGGGAAAAAGAGGAAAGTAGACTCATACAATCATTGAACAAAAATAAAATTAAGGGAAGAGGAGTTGGAAACTCTATCAAATCAACATTGTGGACAATATTTGAAAGACAATCTACACATCAATTAGTTTCTTGATAAATATTCTTTATCTCAAGTTTCTAATTAGTTTGAAACTTAAGATATAATGTTCAAGGAGAAACAAATGAAGATTATGAGTCTTTTCGAAAAATGATCAAATCAAATAGAATAAGGGAATCCATCTTAACAAGGAAGAAAAACTCAAACTATTGGTTCTGAAAACATGGACTGGGCCCCCAAAGCTCATGAAAAATGGAAGTTCATCGACCAAGGTTACAATAAAAACCATTAACATGGATTTCCTTGTAGTTCCTAATGAGACCACACAAACTAAAAGCTATGTGTTACTAAAGTATGACATGTACATATTAAGCTTGAAAAAATTAGTAGAAGGAGACATTCATTTCACATTACTTTCATGCTTCCTTTGCTCGACATCAGAGGAAGGATGATGAAAAAAATTACGATGATGAACGTAATGTAGGTAGGTTTAAAGTTTACTTAGAAATAATTCAAGATCGAGAAAAACCCCTAAAAAAGATAGTTGGTTTCTAGTTTCTACATCGAATTCGATACTAAAGAAAGTGGGTAAGTCCCATTAATTAGCACATGAATAATAATATTGTCAATAGTACTCCTTCTAACCATGAAGTTATTTTGATTGAACAAAATATCCTTAGACATCACTTCCTTTAGTATGTTAGAGGTAACTTTTTCCTTTCACTCTTGTCTTCATTTGTCCAATTGCCACAAAATACCTCCTTACATATAAATCAGTGGAAATTTCTAACCACAGCAAAACAATCTTAGTTTAACAAGCACCACTTAACAGCTTGATAAATGTTATTAGTATAGTGAAAGATGAGATACATACTAAGAAATAAAAAGTTAGGGATCAAGTAGCAGTTATCTGAGTCTCGGTCGTCTGACTCTTGGCCGTCTGACTCTCCGACGAACCAAATAGTTCGCAGATTTGATTATGCCTCCGAATGTGGTGAGGACTCTTGAACAATAGATCTTTGGCCTCTGAATGTCTACCTTCTTGAAATAAGGATTCAAAAATTTGAAGGTAAACTTTATGAGAAGGGTAATTTTTTATACTCAAAACCTTCAGGAATTCTGCAGCATCCTCCATGGTCCCAAATTTCGAAATATGCGAGACAAATGGTTCGTGGTATGGAGGGAAATTTTTAGTTTTCATCATTCTAAGAAGGACAAGTGCCTCCTCAAACATTCTGACTCCTAATAGACTTTGAATCAGTTTCTTGAATGTAGCTTGCCATGGACATACGGAACACCTACCGGTTATCTCTAGAAGCAGCTTGTACGCACCGTCTATTCTCTTTTGAGTAAGAAAACCGTCAACCAGAACTCCTAACAAATCAGCATCCACATCGCCATTGTGTTCCATCATCTTATAAAGACTAAGTAACGCGTTGTCTAGTTCACCGGCATCACAGTACCCTTGGATCAAGATTGTCCAAGTCTTGATATCAGGCCTGCAATCACGTGTTTGCATCTCCTCAATTACCTTGTGCGCTTCTTCAAACCTCCTCATCTTACAAAGACCGAAAATAATTTGACTGTACGTGATGTTATCCGGCTCATAGCCAGCATTTTTCATGGTCTCAACAATTTTCTCAGCTTCATCGAATCTCCCAGCACTTGTCAAAGACCTGTGGATACCATCATATACAGCCTTGGAAAGAGTATACCCTCCCGACTCGAATTTCTTAGCTACCCTGAAAACTAAATCCAAATTTGGCTTATCACCTCCAGAGATACTCTTTAAAAGTATAACGCAATCCAAAACCGACGGCTTATATGAACTATCCATCATATGCTCGTAAAGCTTCACCGCATCCTCCATCATCCTATTCTTTTGAAGCTGCCTCGATATCTTTATGTAAGTATCGAGATCCAATTCATGACCGACACTCTTCATCTCGTCAAGAACACTCCAAAACTCCTCAATCGATTCCATCCTAGCAAGAACTCTAGCAACTGCATTGTAAGTCACTGTATTCTGTTGATAACCAGATTGCTTCCCAACCCAATGAAAGAACTTGTAAGCCTTTAAAGGAGAACTTCGAACCTCTTTCAAAACCCTAATCACAAAATTATCCGAAAGCTGAATTTCAACTTTTGCAAGTTCATTCTCAACCTTATCATCGTCATCATCATCCCAATTAGACCCTAAAATGATACCAACAATGTTTTTGACAACACTCTGCATAGCATTTTGGTGAATCATGCCATTATAAAAATGAGAAAGAGCTGAAACATCACTCTGCAGTTTTTCCTTTTTAAACCCTGTTGAAATTGTCAAATACGTTTCTTCATCAAGGTAAAACCCTTTCTCCTTCATAGTCCTTAGAATAATCCAAAACTCTTTCATTTTTTTATTACTCGCTAAAACCCTAAGAACTAAGCTATAAAGTGAAGAACTTGGCATAAACCATTCTTTCTCACTGACCCAACTGAAAAAGGAAAAAACTTTAAGAGGGTTTTTGTCCAATCGTTTCAAAACGTAAACAACGGTTTCATGGGTTAACGATTGACGAGAATTTTCTAACTCTTTTTCTACCTCTTGGGACCAATCATTTGAGAAAACAAGCTCTAAAATGGAGTTTGGTTTGGAAGAAAAGTAGAGTTTTTGTTGAGTGTTGTGAGAAGGTAATGAATCGTGTGAGCGATTGAAAAGGGGGAGTGAAATAGAGGAAGAAGAGAAGTGAGTCACCTGGTTCCGAGTTGCAAGAACTCGGGTAGCGAGTGATGAGTTGAGGAATCTGAGGGAAGAGGATATTGCCTTCATGCGATTCATCGTAAAAGTTAAGAGCTGTGTTTCTAAGATGAAATTGCTGCGCAATCAAAGGTGGTGGTGTTTTATTAGAATGGGTTTAAGTCTAAGGTTTAACGACAGGGTTTTGTGGGTATGGATCGGGTGTTCGGTTTTACCATAACCCGACTTAGCTTATATCCATTTTTGAATCCGGTTTTACCAAAACATGGGTGGGGTCAATTTTTCCAACTTAACGATTACTCACATTAGCGGTCGGTTTTGATTGAATTTAGTCAAATCAATGAGTTAACCCACATAAGACACACTAGTTTGTGTGAGATAAAATAACCACCCACAATATTATTGAGTCGGTTTGAATAAAACTACAAATTTATAGATTAGATTGATTTGGGTTGTAGGTTACCCCTTTTCTTTTCTTCTTTTTTTATATAATTGTAAATTATGTGTCACATTTTTTTCTTAATAAATAATGTAACCTATTACACAATTTTGTTAAACATCGAATGTATAAATGAGCGATAAAGTTCATCATAAACATATTTAGAAAAATCAAAGTTACATTGTAACATCTAGAATTGTATAAAATTCTTCCAACTTACAATAATTAGCATCAAACTAATCAAAGTGAGACATTCTAACTAAATTAAAATTATTATTTATGAAATAAAATATATTCAAAAGATTGTAATTGAAGCAACCAAGATTAACGACATCAAAATCATCATTCATCACATTATAAAAAAGAGCACAAAAAAAATAGTCACTCAATAACCCGTGAATTTTGTGGGTTGGGTGTGGGTTTACCCATAATCCAATTATTTTGAATGGTTTTTTATTTTTAAAAATTGTGTTCATCCAATAACTCGACCCAACCCATCTTTTTGTGTTGATTTTGGTGGATTTTACCGGATTTATTTGCTTTACCTAACTCATGTGCACCTCTAATTCACACAATCTTACGAAAATCTCAAAATGCTCCTCAAATTTAAAAATACATTTTTGAACGCGCCCAAACCTCACAAAAATTTGAAAATGTATTTTCAAAAAATTGTTAGAGTCAAAAATAAAAAACAAATGCAGAAAACGTAACATAAATTAACGTTAATCATTGTTATGATGTACATTAAAAATGAAACATTACATAGAGAATCATTAACGTGAATCTAACAATATATTACATCATCAAGTAGGCCATTTCAACATCTTCAGGATATCTCCGGCCGATCTCGCAATCTTTGCATCCATCGTGATCAGACCTTTTGTTTCGTAAACGTGAAATATATTCCATATAACAGTTAAATCTTCATCTTCAGCTCAAACTTGTTGAATTGTATCTTCTTTTTGTTATCAATCGAGGGTGAACGATAATAGAGCTTCACGGCTCTTCGATTGTCTGGATCAGATTCTCTAGTATTGATTTTAGATCGACAAGACGGGTAATCTCTAAGAACCTAAATTAAAGATGGGGTTTCTCATCGTTGAAGTAGACAAATGTGAGATATGCACATTGAGACATTCTTTGTGAGTTCTTTGTGTGTTTGTGATAAGAAGTATAGTGGCACTCATGTTTATACAATTTTTAGATCAATATGAACCTTACAAACTCAGTCCTATCTTAGAGGATATTGAAATGAACTTTCGGATATGTTGGAAATTCGCCATAACCTATGGAGAATTTCTATCAATCTTGATGAACAAGATTATTATCGATATACAATAACAATGAAAATAAAGAAAATTGTAGAAGAAAGAAAATTAGGGTTTGACAAAATATAGAAGAAAATGGTTTTTTCTGCAGAGTAACTCTTTGCCCACAAAATTGATGACCCTTGTGTACGCCTACCTTAGCACGAGATGAATGCCCTGCGATGCCAAAGAGCTGAACATGGTTAGATGTCGTACCTGCTCGTACGTCTTAATCGAGGATAAACTTTACAGACGGGGATTTTCCATCCCCTCCTCAAGTGTGTCGACGAATGCAAGGTGTCGGGCATACATCAAGAGATCCACGAAGGGATCAACGCCTAACACCTTGGCGGAAGATCACTTGCTCTACGAGAATGATATTATTGGCCCACCATGCAGCAAGACACCAAAGGGCACTTCAAGAAGTGCGACAAATCCCAATGGCACAGAGACATGCATTTGGCCCCACCAAACGAGCTCAAAACATTTTCGTTGCCACAGACATTTGCATGGTGGGGGATGAACATCATCGGGACCTTCATAATCGGATCCTGCCAAAATAAATATTTGATAGTCGACATCGACTACTTAACTAAATGGATAGAGGTTGAACCCTTAGCCAAAATCACGGCCCAAAACATACTCCGTTTGTATAAACAAAACATACTTGCTCGGTTTGGTGTGCCCCAAGCCATCGTCACCGATAACGGGACACACTTCACTGACAAAAACTTATAGGACTTCGTTACCAGGCTGGGCACGAAGCAACACTTCACGTTGGTCGAACACCTCCAGACGAACGGGCAGGCCGAAGCCGCTAACAGAATGATTCTGCGCGGCCTGAAGTGAAGGTTGGGAGACACCAAGAAAAGATGGGTCGGGGAGCTACACAGTGTCCTCTGGCCTTACAGAACCACCTCGCACTCGACAACCGGGGAGACCCCATTTCGACTGGCCTACGGGACTTAGGCAGTGATTCTAGTGGAAATAAGGGAATCTTTCAGGAGAATCGAGTCCCCCTTCCCCGACGAGGCAAATGACGAGGCACTAAGGGAAGAACTCGACCTAGTCGAGGAAATCAGGTCGGGGGCCTCCCTAAAGGAAGTCTCGCTGAAACAAAGGATAACCTTGCGACACGATAACAAAGTCATCAAGCGCGAATTCCAGGTGGGCAGCCTGGTTCTATGAAGGAACCAGAAGGATTCACGCGAGGGTAACAAGGCCTATTACCTCGAAAACCTACACGGGGAAGAATTTGCTCGACCACGGAACGCAGAAAAACTCAAACAATACTACAGTTAGACACTGCCCCTGATCCGTTGGCGTTGCAACCACAAGGCCTTGATACGGTACAAACGTGACTCCTAACAAAAAGACAAGAGTCAACCCCTTGCGTATGCGAGCAAGACCCTTGATTCAGTGGGGACCCCTCAACCGAGCCCCACCGCTGTCGTACCATTGGGGCAGAACACCCAACTCGCAATGGGAAGTTTACGCCCGGGAAAAGGACCTCGACCGAGATCTTGGCCCCATCATCAATCGGATACCAACTCCGATCACCCGACCAGTTCCCTGCACAGTCAGTCACTAAACAAGTCGAGCAAGAAAACAAATAGAAATGCAGTTCATACATAGAAAACAAGAAAACATAAAAAATAAAGCACACGCAACATAAAAGTAAAGTTACTACATTCCCAAAATAGCGGGCAAAGTCCATTGTTCAAAAATTACAAGAATGGAACGCAGGCCAGAAACAGATACATCAAAGGTAGGCACGCAAGCCAAGAAAGTAACATAGGCACGCAGGTCAGAAAGACAAAAACAAAACTAAGAGGCTTCATTCTCCTCCTGCTCATCGCCCACCTCGATTGGAACATCATCTTCCTCCTTGGCTCCCGGCACGACCATGCGACCCTCGACAACCTGATGGAAGGGCCCCGTCCTTTCGGTGATAAATGGAACTTCCGGGTTTATGATCCGGAGTTGCTCCACAGCACTATCGTAACCCACAATATTATTGAGTCGGTTTGAATAAAACTACAAATTTATAGATTAGATTGATTTGGGTTGTAGGTTACCCCTTTTCTTTTCTTCTTTTTTTATATAATTGTAAATTATGTGTCACATTTTTTTCTTAATAAATAATGTAACCTATTACACAATTTTGTTAAACATCGAATGTATAAATGAGCGATAAAGTTCATCATAAACATATTTAGAAAAATCAAAGTTACATTGTAACATCTAGAATTGTATAAAATTCTTCCAACTTACAATAATTAGCATCAAACTAATCAAAGTGAGACATTCTAACTAAATTAAAATTATTATTTATGAAATAAAATATATTCAAAAGATTGTAATTGAAGCAACCAAGATTAACGACATCAAAATCATCATTCATCACATTATAAAAAAGAGCACAAAAAAAATAGTCACTCAATAACCCGTGAATTTTGTGGGTTGGGTGTGGGTTTACCCATAATCCAATTATTTTGAATGGTTTTTTATTTTTAAAAATTGTGTTCATCCAATAACTCGACCCAACCCATCTTTTTGTGTTGATTTTGGTGGATTTTACCGGATTTATTTGCTTTACCTAACTCATGTGCACCTCTAATTCACACAATCTTACGAAAATCTCAAAATGCTCCTCAAATTTAAAAATACATTTTTGAACGCGCCCAAACCTCACAAAAATTTGAAAATGTATTTTCAAAAAATTGTTAGAGTCAAAAATAAAAAACAAATGCAGAAAACGTAACATAAATTAACGTTAATCATTGTTATGATGTACATTAAAAATGAAACATTACATAGAGAATCATTAACGTGAATCTAACAATATATTACATCATCAAGTAGGCCATTTCAACATCTTCAGGATATCTCCGGCCGATCTCGCAATCTTTGCATCCATCGTGATCAGACCTTTTGTTTCGTAAACGTGAAATATATTCCATATAACAGTTAAATCTTCATCTTCAGCTCAAACTTGTTGAATTGTATCTTCTTTTTGTTATCAATCGAGGGTGAACGATAATAGAGCTTCACGGCTCTTCGATTGTCTGGATCAGATTCTCTAGTATTGATTTTAGATCGACAAGACGGGTAATCTCTAAGAACCTAAATTAAAGATGGGGTTTCTCATCGTTGAAGTAGACAAATGTGAGATATGCACATTGAGACATTCTTTGTGAGTTCTTTGTGTGTTTGTGATAAGAAGTATAGTGGCACTCATGTTTATACAATTTTTAGATCAATATGAACCTTACAAACTCAGTCCTATCTTAGAGGATATTGAAATGAACTTTCGGATATGTTGGAAATTCGCC